AGTGCCTACAAATTTGTTGCTGTTGTTACTTTCCTTAGGTAGTCTTATCAAAACAGGGTCAAGTGACCCAAGGTATGGAGAAAGTGCCCTCAGCAGCAGCTATTAAAACTCATATAACTCTAATCACTGTAGTAAGTTTGATTAAACAGTAAGCGTAAAGAGAATAAAAGTTCTTAAAAGGACCACTTGTAAGTTAAATGCTACTAAAACCACACGCACAAGAAGTTCTGCCTTTTAATATCAAGAACAAACAAGTTCATTCTCAAAATCTTTCAAGCAAGAATGACTGAATGCTAATGCCAGAGTTCTTCTGGGTTTCACCAGGGGTCAGACATAGTAAACGACTTCAACACAAATGCCATGGCAGCAGAAGTGTCCCTCATTAAGCTACATCCTAGAATCCAACAAATATTTGGATTTTACTTTAAAATAATAATTAGTATTTTCACTCAAAGATAGCCTTTTTAAAAAGTTATGCAGTAGGAAGAGTAGGTGGCACTTTCTCCCTTGAAGGAATTTCAATCAAAAGTCCAAAAGCCTCACCAAAAACAAAGGGCAAGGTCTTTACAGCTGTGTGGCCCTGGAAAATTCACTGAACAGGTCTCTGAAATTCAGTATCTTATCTACAAATTGGCATTAACATCTACATCCCAAATTTGGGGAAGTTGGGAGGAAGGGGGACAGAGGAGGCAAACTAAGATTTGTATGTAAATGCTTTGAGATACGATCCAACAATCCTACTCCTGGGCATATATCAGAAAAAAAACATATTTCAAAATGATACATGCACTCCAGTGTTCACTGCAGCACTATTTACAATAGCCAGGACATGGAAGCAACCTAAATGTCTATCAACAAAGCAATGGTTAAAGAAGATGTGGTACATATATACAATGAAATACCAGTCAAATGAAGTCACTCAGTTGTGTCCAACTCTTTGTGACCCCATGGACTACAGCCTGCCAGGCTCCTCTGTCCATGGGATTTCCCAAGCAAGAATACTGGAGTCGGTTGCCATTTCCTTCTCCAGATCTTCCCAACCCAGGGATCGAACCCAGGTCTCCCACACTGCAGGCAGACTCTTTACCGTCTGAGCCATCAGGAAAGCCCCTGATGAACTAGTACTCGGCCATTAAAAGGAGTGAAATATCATCATCTGCAGAGACAAAGATAAACCTAGAGACTCATACAAAGTGAAGTCAGAAAGAGAAAAAAACATGTAATACCACTTATATGTGGAATCTAGGAATGATGAAGATGAATTTATCTGCAAAGCAGAAACAGAGACACAGATGTAGAGAACAAACCAATGGATACCAAGGCGGGGAGAGGAGGCTGCAATGAGCTCGCAGAGTGGGACTGATATACACATGCTACTGTATACAAACTATGTAACGAATGAGAACCTACTGTGCAGCCCAGGGCGCTCTACTCAGGGGCCTATGGTGACCTAAACGGGGAGGGGATCTAAACGAGAGTGGGGTGTAGGTACAGCTGGTTCACTTTGCTGCACAACAGAAACTAACAACAACGTAAAGCAACTGTACTCCGATAAAAGGTTTTAAAATGAGAAAGAAAAGAAAAGGTGTTGAGGATGGCTCACACACAGGCATACATTGCCAGTTTTGAGTCCTTCCACCCCAGGCAGTGGGAGGGGAGGCTGCAAAGCCAGGTAAAGCTCAACTGCAATTTGTGTTCACGATATATAATGTTTGACCACTGTTCCTATTTTACATAAATAAAGAGCCTCGTGATGAAAGTGAAAGACAAGAGTGAAAAAGTTGGCTTAAAGCTCAACATTCAGAAAACTAAGATCATGGCATCCGGTCCCATCAGTTCATGGCAAATAGATGGGGATACAGTGGAAACAGTGGCTGACTTTATTTTTCTGGGCTCCAAAATCACTACAGATGGTGACTGCAACCATGAAATTACAAGACGCTTACTCCTTGGAAGGAAAGTTATGACCAACCTAGACAGCATATTAAAAACCAGAGACATTACTTTGCCAACAAAGGTCCGTCTAGTCAAAGTTATGGATTTTCCAGTGGTCACGTATGGATGTGAGAGTTGGACTATAAAGAAAGCTGAGCGCGGACTTCCCTGTTGGTCCAGTGGTTGAGAGCCCAACGGCCAATGCAGAGGTCATAGGTTGGATCCCTGGTCTGGGAAGATTCCACACACCACAGGGCAACTGAGCCTGTGCGCCACTAACTACTGAGCCTGTGCCCTAGAGCCTGGGAGACGCAACTACTGAGCCCCCTAGAGCCCGTGCTCCACAGCAAGAGAGGCCACCACAACGAAACCCCATGCACCGCGGCTAGAGATAGCCACACGCAACGAAGTCCCAATGCAGCCAAAATAAGTAAGTAAATAAAAATAAATAAAACATTAAAAAAAGAAAGCTGAGCGCCAAAGAATTACTGCTTTTGAACTGTGGTGTTGGAGAAGACTCTTGAGAGTCCCTTGGACTGCAAGGACTAAAGGGGATCAGTCCTGGGTGTTCATTAGAAGGACTGATGTTGAAGCTGAAATTCCAATACTTTGGCCACCTCATGCGAAGAGCTGACTCATCTGAAAAGACCCTGATGCTGGGAAAGATTGAGGGCAGGAGGAGAAGGGGACAACAGAGGATGAGATGGTTGGATGGCATCACTGACTCGACGGTCGTGAGTTTGAGTAAACTCCGGGAGTTGGTAATGGACAGGGAGGCCTGGCGTGCTGCTGTTCATGGGGTCGCAAAGAGTTGGACACGACTGAGCAACTGAACTGAACTGGAAATGTAAAATATTTTTAGTCTCAGATTTGGTTTTTTAAATATGGGACTCCAGAGATCACCATAATTCATATTATGAAAGACATATTAGAGTCGAGCATCCTTTGTCTAGCACATTCAAATTCCAAACAAAGAAAACCACAATCCCTATTTATACATTTTTCTCTTCTACCAGCATAAACTGAAGGCAGCCATAATATATGATGGTAAAATGTCTTTAAGAAATCTTTGAGAGGTATTCTAGAAAATTAAACCTGTTTATGTAATCAGTATAAAAATCTGTTGTCAGCTTTTTCCCAAAGGTGAAAAGGATTTTGAGATCCCAGTAAAAATAGTACCCCCAAAAAAATTTTTTTTAATTATAAACTTGCATAACTTGATATCAGGTGGAGCTGGAAAAGCTCATATAAAAGGAATCTGTTTTACAGAAGAGAAGATATAGAACAATCTAGTATAAGTTTGGAGGGATGGAAGTCTAGGGCCTCTAAGTATATTCAGTCTTTGACCCAAAGACAGAGGTTTAAAAAAGGGTTTAAAAAACATGGAGCAAAAAAAGAAAAAAACCATGGGGCAACCTCAGTGCAAATTAGAAACATCAAGAAATGAACAAAACTGTCACTTTTGTTTCACTAGAAACAGAACCATGTAAGTAACATCTAATGCACTAAGGATTAGTTGGGAAGAACTTCTAAAATGAGATCAAAAATCAGGATCTTCTCTTTACAGCAGCAGCATTGGAAAAGAAGTCTTGAGAGTAATTAAAAATACAACCCACCTCAATGAGGTCAAGCTGTGTTAGGTACAGTTTAGTTTAAGCACTTAATAGAAATTTGTTTAAGCTAGTAGATCGAAAACATTTTCTGGATTTTTTCTTTTTTGCTTTTGGATTCTGTCTCTGTAGGTACTAACTCAATTTTTAAAATAAATATATTTTCTAATCCATTTAAAAGAGACTCACAAGTCATTGTTCTGTTATCAGTTCACAAACATTATCTCACTCAGTTGGCCCCATAGCCCTAGGAAGTAGGTATTATTTCTATAATGTCTATTTTAAGAAAGAAACTGAGGGTCATAGAAGTCAAAGAACCTACATAAGATCATAGGACTAGTATGTGACATCGTCATGAGGGAACCCAGGTGAATCTGCAGGAGGTACTTTCAATCACATTAAAAACAAAGGTAACACTAATTTTTCAAATAGCTCCATTAACCCTAAATAACGTCAAGAATCACGCTGCAGACTGGCAGCAGTTCATGAAAAATACTTTGTTTTTCTTTAAACATTCCCATTAAAAAAATAATAAAATAAACATTCCCATTAAAAGCAGACCCTGACAAATAGATTTGACTTCTGTTTCCTTTCCTGTTTTTAAATGCATATAAAAAGTCTTGAGGCATCAACACCAAAGTTTTAAAATTTAACCGCCATCTTATGAGCCAAACTTCAGATTTTCACATCGAAAGAGTATGAAAGAAATCTCTCCTCTAAATGACTTTGGAGCTAAGCCTGCAAAAAGGTGAACCTGTGAATTGTTCTCCACGTCCACCCGCAGACTCAGTAAAGAAACAAATACCTAACTCCAGGAGAGTAGAGGGGAGATAGAACAATCTGGACACTCGACACATTAGACCATTTCTCCTTATTACACCCATCTGGCCAAAGGGGCTGAAAGAGAAAGCTGTTTACTGCCCTATAGGTGTTAGTGAAAAAGGCAGCTGCAACACGAGCCCATTGTACCTATAAAAGCTGAATCAAATAAGAACATTTATCACAACTACCAGGTCCCCTTTCTAGCTTCTCTGTCAATTACACAAAGAGCCTGCTATTAAATATTGATGGCATGCTATTTGCAACAGAACTCTGGCGGAGAGCCTCCTGCTACCAATTTTTGTTATGAAAGAAAAACCGTCCTTATTTTCGAGGTAAATCCTCTAAGCCACGAGATCTCTCAGATGGGCTATCGCATTGTCCTTCCCAGGGGAGACTGTCAGGGCCACCCACACACACACCCAGGAAAGGAGAAGGGTTCTGGGGAGGGCGGGTCCCCGCAGGTCCCGGGGCAGGGGTCCCAGTTTCTCTTCTCCCCCTGCTGTCGGCGACAGGTCGGGCGGCGGGGCGGGGCCCGGCCAGGCTGTCCGCACAAAGCCAGCCGGAGCGCGGTGGGCGGACCCGGACCCAGGCCCGGGAGGACGCCGCGCAGGGCGGACCAGGTGGGGCACTTACCCAGCAGCAGCACATTCTTCCCCGAGGGGAGTTTGGAGCGTGAGCGGGTGGAGACCTCACTGAGGATGCAGGACCTGGCGGGGAACAAGGCGCACGCTCAGGCCGGAGCCCCGCGCCGGAAGGGCTACCCGGGCCTCCACGCCCGGACGGGGGCGGCCGAGAACGCGGCGGCCTGGGCCGGGCGCCGAGCCCCGGCGGGCACGCGACCCTGGACCATGCCCGGGCCGGGGTTGCCAGCGGGAACCAGGGAGGGGTGCGGTCCTTACCAAAGGTTCTGTCCGTCCTCGTCGTCGCCTGCCGCGGCGCCGCCGTTGCCCGAAGCTAGCTCGTTGGCCAAGGGGCCGCCTGTGTAAGTCGAGGTTAATCCTGGCGGACAGGAACCGAAGGAGCCGACTCGCCCCACGGCCGCCATTTTGGTTGGGAATCACACCGCTCCCGGCAAAGCTGAATGAGCGCGGCAGCGGCGGCGGCGGGAACCCGGATATGGGGCGTTCGGCGCAAGGGAGCGGGGCGGGGCCTGCGGGGGTGGGACCCAGGCTCTGCAGGGACTGACGGAGTTAGCGAGGGCGAACTGCGCGTGCGCTGCAGGCTGGCCGGCGCGGCGGGGATGCGCGTGCGCAGATTACCCGGCTGCCCGCCCTGCCGCAGTGCCAGTCCTAAGCTCTGCGGGTTGATTGCCGCTACCCCCACCCCTCCCGCAGTCCTGGGCTGCAGCCGGTCGCCTTGGGGTGTGTCAGGGGGACAGTTCTCGCTCGCACGCGCTCGCTCTCTCTCTCCCTCCTTCGGTCAGGTCCACAAACCTCGTAGCGGGTGTGAAATTCCTGCACTGTCACTGCTATCCCGCCTGCTGCAATTAGAATTGGTTGTTCTGTTTACCTAAGACAAAGCTGTCATCCTGCAATCTCTTTTCACCATTGTGCGGATTCTGTTTGCCTCATTCCTGTGTCTTCTTTCGTATTTTAGTGGAGAACTTCCTCCGTTGGTTTTATGAGAGGAAAAAAATAGGGTATGGCTACGTTTTGGGAGACCTGTATTCAATCAAGGTCCAGGTGAAAGCTTAATGAAGGAATAATTGATACAGGTGTGAATGATCTTAAGAGATGGGGTTAACAAGAGCAGGAAGATTAAGGGCTGAAGGGAGAAAGGAAGGCATGTTCACTAGAATCCAGAGAACTGTAGCTATAAGAAAAGTGTTGATGAGTAGGATCTGTGACTTTGAGTAAATGAACACAGCACTCACCTCTCTTCTGCCCTGAGGTATCCCACCAGTGTCTCACATTTGCCAAAGCCACCAGAAGCCAAAAGGCAAGAGAACTCGAGCAAAGGAATCCATGCAGGTTACCTATCTGAGCACAAAAAGGGTTAGGAGGAGCAAACAGAAGATAGCCAGCTCACCTTGTCTGTTTGAAAATGCAGGTAGTCTATACTCAGTTTGCCTGGGTATAGAATTCTTAGGATGCAAATTATCTTCCCTTATGTTTTTTTAAGGCCTTTACCCCTTGTCTGCTAGATTTTAGTGCTGTCATTGAGAAATTCAAAGCCATTCTGATTCCTGCTCCTTTGTTATGTGGTCTTTTTTCTTTTCTCTACTTGGAAGCCTTTAGAACTTCCACAGATTTCCACTAACACACATACCCCTTCCAGTTTCTGCACTGTCATACTAATTATCCTGCCAATTATAATAGGCAAATAATTCATACTCTTACACTAAACCAACAGCTCCACTTCTGCACTGGATTCCATCTCCTTTCCACCACTCAACGGCATTGCTCCAACAATTCTCCCCCCCCCCCCCCCGCCTTTCTCTAGATAATCATTTATTGATTTCAACTTGATCATTTTTTTCTTGGCCCTCCCTACTCCTTCACCAGCTACCACTAAATTTCTTTTCTCCCTTTTGTAGCAAAACTCTTTAAAATAGTTGTCTTTACATGCCATCTTCAATTCCTCTTCCCCTTTGGCCTTAGAACTTACTTCAATAAGATTTTTACCCCATGACTCCACAGAAAAACCTCTTATCCTTGTAGTCAATGATCTCCTTATTGCTAAATCCAATAGTAAATTCTACTTCCTTGTCTATCTTAGCTTTTCAGCAACATATAGTATAGTTGATCATCCTTTCTAGATATTCTTCTTTACATGGCTTCCTGGTCACCATGTTCTCTTGCAGTTTTTTTCTGTGTCACTAGCTGTTCCTTCTCAGTCTCCTCCACCATTTCCTCATTTTCTTGACCACTTAATGGCTCAGGGTTCAGTCTTTGTTCCTCTTCTCTACCTATACCCAATTCTTTGGTGATCTCATACAGTCTCATTAAATTCCATCTGTATGATAAATCTCGCAGATTTTTCTCTCCAGCCTAGAGCTCCATCTAGAACTTCAGATTAATGCATCAAACTGTTTCTTCCACATCTTCACTTGGATATCTAACAGCAGTCTCAAACTCAGCATGCTTTAAACTTAGTATCTGACCTCTCCCCGCAAATTCTATTTCACCCATCACCTAACCTAGTGATCCCCAACCTTTTTGGCACCAGGGACCAATTTCAAGAAGACAATTTCTCCATGGATGGTGGGGCGGATTTGAGTAATGAGGAGCAGTTGTATATACAGATGAAGCTTCACTTGCTTGCCTGCCACTCACCTCCTGCTGTGTGGCCTGGTTCTTAACAGGGTACAGACCAGGACTGGGGGTTGGGGACCCCTGACCTAACCCACTAGGTAGCAGTTCCTTATTGCCTAAGTTATTCTTGACTCCTCCCTTCCCTTCATACCGCACAATTGAATACATCAGGAATCCAAAAGTCTTCACCTTTAAAATATACCCACAATCCAACTTCTTATCACTCACCCTCTGATATGACTGTGAGCTATCATCTCTTGCCTGAATTGCTATAAAAGGCTCTTCAATACAGCAGCTGGAGGGATCCTTTAAAAATATGAGCCAGGAGTACCCTGGTGGTCCAGTGGTTAGGGCTCAGGGCATTCACTGCTGTGGCCTGGGTTCAATCCCTGGTCCGGGAACAAAGACCTCACAGGCTAGCCAAAAAAAAAAAAGAAAAATCATATCATTTTACTCTTTTACTCAAAATCCTATAGTGGTTCCTCATTTAAATCAAAGTAAACCCCGAAGTCCTTACAACGACCCACAGAGTCTACAGAATCCGGCCTCCATTGCTTCTCTGGGCTTTTCTGCTCTAACTGGTCTCTCGATTTCCCTACTCTGCCACACTGCTGCCACTGCTAGTCTTTAAGCATACTGTGTAACCCTTTGATTCAGCTGTTCCCTTCTGGCATGAAGGAGACATTGAAAGTGAAAATGTCATTTTCACAGTCGCTCAGTCATTCCCAACTCTTTGCGACCCCATGGACGGTAGCCCACCAGGCTCCTCTGTCCATAAGATTCCCGAGGCAAGAATCCTGGAATGGGTTGCCATTTCATTATCTAGGAGATCTTCCTGACCCAGGGATCAAATCTGTCTCCTGCATTGGCGGGCAGATTCTTTACTGCTGAGCCACCAAGGAAGCCCTTAATCATCTCTCGATTTCTTATAATACCTAATATATTGTAAATACTATGTAACTAGTTGTAAATACAATGTAAATGCTATGTAAATAGTTGTCTGACCAAGGCAAATTCAGGTTTTGGTTTTTGGAACTTTCTGGAGATTTTTCCCAAATGTTTGTTTTCTTGGCCACACCAGTTGGCATATGGGATCCTAGTACCCAGACTAGGCATCAAACAGGCAAAGAAGAAAAGGAAAGATATACCCATCTGAATGCAGAATTCAAAGGACAGCAAGGAGAGAGAAGAAAGCGTTCCTCAGCAACCAATGCAAAGAAATAGAGGGAAGAAATAGAATGGGAAAGACTAGAGATCTCTTCAAGAAAATTAGAGATACCAAAAGAACATTTCATACAAAGATGGGCACAATAAAGGCACAGAAACAGTATGGACTTAAGAGAAACAGAAGATGTTAAGAAGAGGTGGCAAGAATACACAGAAAAACCATACAAAAAAGATCTCCACGACCCAGATAACCACGATGGTGTGATCACTCACCTTGACCCAGACATCCTGGACTGTGAAGTCAAGTGGGCCTTAGGAAGCATCACTACGAACAAAGCTAGTATGGGTGATGGAACTCCAGCTGAGCTATTTCAAATCCTAAAAGATGATGTTGTGAAAGTGCTACACTCAATAGGTCAGCAAATTTGGAAAACTCAGCAGTGGACACACGACTGGAAAAAGTCAGTTTTCATTCCAATCCCAAAGAAAGGCAATGCCAAAGAATGTTCAAACTACTGCACAATTGCACTCATCTCACACGCTAGCAAAGTAATGCTCAAAATTCTCCACGCCAGTCTTCAATAGTGTGTGAACCGTGAACTTCCAGATCTTCAAGCTCGATTTAGAAAAGGCATAGGAACCAGAGATCAAATTGCCAACATCCAATGGATCATCAAAAAAGCAAGAGAGTTCCAGAAAAACATCTATTTCTGCTTTATTGACGATGCCAAAGCCTTTGACTGTGTGGATCACAACAAACTGTGGAAAAATCTTAAACAGATGGGAATACCAGGCCACCTGACCTGCTTTCTGAGAAACCTATATGCAGGTCAAGAAGCAACAGTTAGAACCGGACATGGAACAGGCTGGTTCCAAATAGGGAAAGGAGTACGCCAAGGCTGTATATTGTAAACCTGCTTATTTAACTTATATGCAGAGTACATCATGCAAAATGCTGGGCTGGATGAAGCACAAGCTGGAATCAAGATTGCTGGAAGAAATATCAATAACCTCAGATACGCAGATGACACCACCCTTATGGCAGAAAGTGAAGAACTAAAAAGCCTCTTGATGAAAGTGAAAGAGGAAAATGAAAAAGCTCATTTAAAACTCAACATTCAAAAAACAAAGATCATGGCATCCAGTCTCATCACTTCATGACAAATAGAAGGACAAACAGTGGCAACAGTGACAAACTTTATTTTCTTGGGCTCCAAAATCATTGCAGATGGTGACTGCAGCCATGAAATTAAAAGATGCTTGATCCTTGGAAGAAAAGTTGTGACTAACCTAGACAGCATATTAAAAAGCAGAGATATTACTTTGCCGACAAAGGTCCATCTAGTCAGAGCTACGGTTTTTCCAGTAGTGATGTATGGATGTGAGAGTTGGACTATAAAGAAAGCTGAGTGCCAAAGAATTGATGCTTTTGAACTGTGGTGTTAGAGAAGACTCTTGAGAGTCCCTTGGACAGCAAGGAGATCAAACCAGCCAATCCCAAAGGAAATGAGTCCTGAATATTCATTGGAAGGACTGATACTGAGACTGAAGCTCAAATACTTTGGCCACTTGATGTGAAGAACTGACTCACTGGGAAAGACCCTGACGCTAGGAAAGACTGAAGGCAGGAGAAGGGGACGACAGAGAATGAGATGGTTGGATGGCATCACCAACTCAATGGATGTGAGTTTGAGTGAGCCCCGGGAGTTGGTGATAGGAAAGCCTGGTGTGCTGCAGTCCATGGGATCACAGAGTTGGACAGGACTGAGCGACTGAACTGAGCCATGCCCTTGGCAGTCCTATAGTAGAAGTGTGGCGTCCTAACCACTGGACCACTAGGGAATTCCCTTTCCAAATACTTTTAATCCGAGGTTGGTTGAATATGTGGATGTGGAACCCACAGATACAAAGGGTGGACTGTATAGAATTTACTTATTTAT